AGTTTGATCCATAGATCTCTTTGTTCACAATTATTTTGTAGTATATTAGGTAGTAAGGTATTTTGAAGTAGCATTCAGTTTATAATTAATCCAAATTTTGTTTAGACTAGTTTTTGTTCAAAGTAGACAGTGTGAGAAAGAGTTACTTACAGCTGCATCAGGTTGTACTTGGGAATGTAACCCACCATTTTAAATTGATAGTGACAATATAACAGGTTTGTTGACTGTGCATATGAAAATGATAACTGCGGAGTAAAATTACATTAGTTTATATTAACAAAAAGTAGCTTCTGCTTTACAAGTCAGTTAATTATTAATGAAAATTATTGTAAACCTCAATTTTACTATACTTAGAAAGGTCTTCTGTGCTGGCAAATGAAGTTGAGATTAAAATATATTTTGCATACAATATTTTTATTTCCAAAACATACATACCTCCACTGACACTTACAGTTATTTCTCGATCTTCATCTTTGCCATCTAAACATCATGTTTGCTTGCTCCAGTCTTTATATGCCACTTGACTGCCTCCAGCAATATCTAATTTGCAAAACTTTACACTGGCCCTTACATGGTCTCTATGCAGGCAATGTATGTTGACAATATAATCACTTTTTCTCAACAAAGCACTAGTGGTAGGAGTTATATTTTGTGGTTAACATTTTTTTTTAAGCATTTTGACAGTAGTCTGGTGTTATTTTTGTTTTTTTCCCCCATTGCCAATATTTTGTTGGTTTTCTTTTGTGGTTCACAAAAAAAGCAGGTATGAATTCCTCTGTAACGGTTTATGGCATAGGGTTAACCAGACCTCGTACATTCCTCCTTTGTTGTCTGGTGGTGGTCGGGTGTGGGGTGGGGGGTTCACTATCGATGGAGGTTGTCCATGATCTGATTCAGGATGAGTTGAAGTCCTTCATGCTCCCTGGGGGTCTTCCGCTGGGAGTTCAGCATTAGCTATTCATCATGAACCTGAATATACTAGGGAAAATTTAGACACTGTTTTCTGCTCCTTCTTTCCCTAGAGCTGCCTCTACTAAGGGCTCATCTGATTGGCCACCTTCTGCCTTTTTTCTGTTGTTAGTTACATAAGTTTGTGAAGCTTTGGGGATTCGCCCCTTGCTTTGGAGTCTACCTTCCTTGTTGTCAGATAGATCTTGGAGGGGGGATTACTTTGTTCTTCCTCCTTCCCCTGATATTGCCGTGTATGCTGGGATGTTTTCAGTGTAATTATGAGAGAGTATTGGTATGCCTTGCTTCCCTCGTTTATCAGAACAACATGCCCTGGCTTATCATCATCTGGTTGTAGAATATTTGGACATTCAACAGTTGGATTTGTTGTAGGATCTATCAGGTTCCAGGTTAGAACCTGTTATCTCCCTTACCAGATCTCCATTTTTGCAGATTCATTTAACTCTTATTACTGTATTGTGATACTCCTCTTCATGATTTCTGGGAGGCCTCCTTTTTTCGGCCTTACTATTTTGCTGGAATCCCTGAAACTTTCGAAGCCCAATTTTATACGGCATGTTTACAGTTTTCATTATTGTCATTGGCTGCTTGCCTCTCTTCTACTCCAATGGGTAACACTGGAGGATCGATTATTCATGTCTCATGGCCCTCTACTTTAGACACCTGTCCTATTGGCTTACAGAATTGGTTCCTAAGTGTATTCTCATGGATCTTTGGAAGGTCGAGATGGTGCCAGTGGCGTCGGTGTCTACCCATTCAGAAGGTCAATCCCATTCATCCAGGATTCTATTCTTGTTTTTTTCTGGTGACCAAGAACACTAGATTGGCATCTTACCATCAATCTGTCTTGACTCAATCTCTTCCTACAGCCTCCTTGTTTCACCATGGAATCTTATCTTCAATTTCAGTGGCACTTCACACCAGATCTTTGGATGACCAAGTTTGATGTTACAGATGCCTACCTTCACATCCCCATAGCAGAGTCTTCTCGTCAATTTCTACGTTTTTACACAAAGACCAGAAGTAGAAGTTCCAAGCTCTTCTGTTTGGACTTGCTTCAGCACCATATGTTTTCTGTTGAGAAGTATGGGCCTTTGAGCAGCATGTTCATTTTCTGGGTCTGTGCACGCATCGCTATTTGGAAGATTGATTTCCTTTGACACCAACCTATCATGTTGTCACATTACATCCACAGACTCTCCTTTCCGAAGCCAGAAGGTTGGAAAAATCCATTCTCTCACCAACTCTATACATGGTCCATCTTGGGGTGTTTTTCAATGCACTTTAAGTCGAGCTCAACCTTCTCCCCTCAGACTTCATGCTAAGGAAATTTTGAAATTTCATATGCAAAGATAGTTATCAAACATTTCTTAAGAAAAAACTTTATATTTCATCTGTTATTTTCAGTAATTAATCTCTGTATGGGTTCGGTAGATTTATATATATTTATTATTTTTATTGTATTGACCTTTCAGCCATACCTGGCTAACAAAACAGAAGTTACAATGATGAGGCTCGTGTGCACTCATGTTACCGTATCGAGTAACATAAAACTGACCTTGGTCTGTGCAAAGTAACTTGTTTTGGCTGTGTTTTAGTAGACTAGTATTTTGTAAAATACAATCGCATTTCAATTATTATACATTATATAAAAAACTTTTGCATGTGGAGGATATGAAACAAAACATTTTGGGGGGTTAATATACATTTGAATAACAAAAAAATAAAAAATTACTACATTAATACTATCAACTACAATATTTATCAAGCTTAGTAACTAAGATGTATTTTAGTCTAAAAATATGAAATTTCGAACAGACTAAAGACGCACCCTACCTCGTTAAAATATTGGTTCAAAAGAAAGAAATGGCACCAAGTCATTTAAAATGGCTCGAAAACCACTAGGGGGAAATTCTGAGCTTTCGATTGGTTATTCATGTCATTATATAGAAGTAAGTGTATATAAGGGAGTGTTTCCGAAAATGGAAAGAGGTGGGGGAGTGCCACTGTGTTTGATTTATTACATGAGCAAACTGAAAAAATAAAAGGCTCTTATTTTATATTCTAGCTTGTCAATATCAGTAATTTGAGTTTATAATTCATTCGTAACTATAGACTTAGTATTTTGACTTCACAAACATCTAATTTGAACCAGTGCTACATTCAACATACCACGTGACACACAAAAATTGGTGTTTATTTGTGTTTTTTTTAATATTTGTCTTTAAATTTAAG